CTATTGTTTAGAGTTGCCCATGACACTCCTGACAAGCCCGTAGATCTTGGCATGGGGTGCATTCATTGAATTCGGCAAATAAATCCACAGGAATATCATTTCTCTCTTGCGCTGTAACAGTATGTGTCATCAGTTACGCAACCGACGGATAAAACGCTAATAAGAACTGCGGACTTCGCCAGGCTGCTAAATGACATTTCAAATTACCGCAACTCAACTGACAGGCTAACCAATCACAAGCGACTATATCGATAGAAGTTAAACATCACGTACAAGGTCATTGGTGGAGTGAGACGCTCAAAGGTCATTTTCGTCCATGTTAGTCGGCCATGTTGGATTGCAGTTCCGTAGCTGTTCGTTTACACATTGGTTTTTCCGTTTATCCAGCAGTCATTCACAACTTATCTTGATGCACATTGTTCACAAATGTTGCTTTTCACTGCATTATTGTTTCCGTTTCTGTTGAAATTAGTTATTTCCTTTGTTTCGAAAATTTTTACCACCAGGTCAGTGCATTCATTTCATTGTTGTTCTTTCATACGTTGCATTCACACATGGTTTCAGTGTTTTAGTTGTTTTTCAGCTATTAATGAATTAGTACTGTGCAGAAATTTTGGAGATTATGCACGTGAACATGTTTGGGAGGCAGAAACAACAGCTTAAGCTGTCGTTTCCAGTTCACTCGTTTGTTGCGGTTATCGTTGCTGGTTTAGTTGCTTACTTAACATGTAGAAATCTGGAAAAAATGTCTTTCATGTTCATGTTTACAGAATGCAAAAATTTATGAGTGAATCTGGTCAAGAGAGCACGATCAGGGTTGATGTTGACAAGTTTTTAGCGTATCGAACAGTACAGAATTATTATTAACCTTCCTAAATCCTACTTAGTTTTTACAATGTGCTACTGTAAAGAAACAGACACGAAATCTTACGAAGGGCTAAAGTGACAGTCTCATAATACTGTAGTAAATCTCCATCCCACTAACTAAGCTTAACATGCACTGATCCGAATTCACTTATTACAAAAGCACATAGTATAGCGACGCACTGAAAAAGTCCAGAGGAAGTAGAATTGAAGAGTATATTAAACATTTCATTAATTTACAAAAGAAAATCCCGATGAAGAGTATTAACGTTCGTTTGACCGAATGATATTTCCGCTTATTTCATATTCGATAACCTCCTTATACCTGAAAAAAATGAAGCACATGTAAGCACAACATGAAGTTCTGAAAGATAATTCTACATATTAGCACACACAATGAATACACTGATTCTGTTAATACTAAGTAATATCTCATGCAAATAAATGTATTTGTAGTTTAGAGCTGGTTTTTATATTGACACCACAAGCATCAATAGACTTCATATGTTTACCAGTATTAAAGGATTAAAAATATCAAGACAATCTTTGAAACATCCATACTGTTGAGGCGCCATACTCTCATCAGCCTTACTTGCAGATCAACTTCACACTAAATACGTTTACATTAAATGAAGCATTGCAAATGTGTAACTTAGAAATTGATCCATAATCTCAGTAATGTCTAATGAATCCTACAGAAATTACATTCTCACATTAAGGAATCTGTAGCCATCAAATATAAGATGAACATGCTTCAACTCTAAACAGCTATGCACAGTGTTAGCAGCATAGAGCAACACCTAAGATGATGTAAGATACGCAGACCTGTTGTGTTGATGAGGATAACAATGACATATAATGCAACCTAGACATTCGGTCGTGACGCTGCATCTGTACTGCTTCATGTTAATGGAAAATTCATCACCACTATTGGTGATCAAAAACATTGCAGCATTAATAATAATTTGCTTTATTCCAAAACAGTACATGTGATACAGAATGGAATTCTCAGCATTTTTACTACAGTATTGCATCCAATTAGTACATTATCAATAAATACAATTCTACATAGATTAAGGAAATCTCAGTTCATTATGACAACAACATATTGGGATGTCGGTAGCAAAGGTAAAGCTGAACAGTGTTCGAAGGTGTTAGAAATGTAGGTGCTATCATATTTACTGGCGTAAGCGAGAGAAAGAAACAAAGCAGCATATAACGGAAATAGAGAGAGAAAAGGAAAAGAAAGAAAGAAAATGTTGTACCTATAAATGTTATGAGTTGGAAAGACGAGAACCAGTTGTACTACTGACTATTTAATGAATTATAGGTGTCACGCCTAATGCTTTCTCTATCACATAGAACACGGGCTAAGTAGGGTATGGTTGAGTTTTTGTACTTGCTAGTGCGAGCATATAGTTTTCTATATAGGCTTCTGGTTTCGCCAGATGAGATTCAAGGGAAAAGTTGTGAGTGAAGACGGTGGTGTGAGTTAGATAAAATGAACTTGGCCCATTTTTCACATGAGTCCATGTGCCTGTCGACCAGAATATTAACAAGCTGGCTAAGTGCAACGTTGCTTACCCTGCTGACAACCTTTAACACCCTGCGTAATATGTTATAGTCTTTCTTCAGTAGCCCGGGAAAAACCAAGGAGGAACAATAGAGAATAATAGGCAGAATGCGAGAATTAACGAATTGTAGGAGCAAGGGTTGGGTTATACCAGAACATTTTAACTACTTAAAAAAGTCTACAGTGCCAGTGAGAATGGCATAACAGACACTCGATTGATAGTAATAGAGCTAACTAGATTCAGTTCTCATTATCGACACAATCCATTTGTATAATAATACTATACACTGAATTAATGCACTAATTGACACAGTAAGGAAATTTAAACGAGTGATTGCCTTCTCCACGGCACTGTACTTGCAATAATCATGACAAACACCTACGTTTGATAGCCAAGCAGTCAGCTAAGCAGACAATGGCACAATATTAATAAAGTTGAGATATTTTTTATACATTGAGTCCACATAACGCTACACCAAACAGTGCAAATATACATGAAATACACTTAGAAATAACCCCTCAACTTACGACAATTCCTGTCCAAACACACATACGGTGAGACACATCTACATGATTACTTCTATTCCCACAGAAGGTTCTGTTGGCATATACAGGTGATTTCCAAGTACTGATAGAATTCTTTTGTCAAAAAGGACTGTTCTTCACACGAAAATAGGCTGAATTAATATCCTGAGACGTGAAGTCTCCATTGAATGATACCATGCCGAAGGGTGCAGCATCCAAATAAAGTAGACTATTTGTGTAGATGACATTACCCTTCAACTATCCTATCTTTCTCACTATAGCGATATTTTGCTACAGTTCGCCTGAAACACTGATCGTTGCAACCAATGTGCTAGGGGGTGTCGCAGTCGGATTACATGACGCGTACGCCAAAATAACTGGCCAGAAAATGGGAATTCCCATCAATCCAGATAACATATAACACAATTTTATCAAAAATTATTGACGAAAAATATTTTCAAGTGAAATTTTAACAGCTGTTCTAGAGCGTGATATTTAAGGTCAGCCACTATATCGCTTGTTTATCTCACTCGTGCGCACACAAAATTACGGTCGTCGACAGGCTGCCCGATTCGTCAAGTGCATCATACTTGAGAAAAGAAGCGCACTTCTCCATGTTCTGCATATATATATGTAATATCATGAGACGAAAATTTGTGATAGTTCACAGCAATCACGTGGTAGACCAACAAGTCTTGTTTACCTGAAAGAGTAGGGAAGATGCTGCTACAAAAATAGCACCTGAAGCTTTGGCAGTAGTTCGAGACAGCTGAACTTACTACACAGAGATTCAATATGTAAGTAATGGTTGAATTTAATTCACCGTCTAGAAAGATCAGGTTTCCCAAGCGGATAATTCACAAAATAGGTATTTTCCGGTTAGAGAGGAAAAATAAATAAATTTCATGATGCTTCATCGGACCTACTAAATATCGACCAACGAAACACGGCTAAGTCCTTTAAGCTAAGTGAAAACTATTTAGCTACTTCTATATATTGTTTGTGAAGTGACTACTTGTAAATGGTTATCAGTCAACACTATCTTTGAGGTGTGGACATATTTTATTTGACTACAAAATGGTGTTTTTATCAATGAGCTTCTCTGAATATCTACTTCTACTTAGTGTTTCAAAGATAGCCTCATATACTCTGCACCTCACAACTTACGCGAAGGCTAATATTCAGTCTAATCAAGTAGAGTATACAAACGAGTAACGGGGAATACATTTATCCATGAATTAACATGTAATACAAAATCAGTGACACTGGAAATCTTCTTCTTTAGCACCAAACTCCATGAAATCCCCAAAATTAGCTATTACCTGAAAAAGAACATAAGAATTCTAAAGGTGTAGACATGGTTACCACTATAAATACAAAATTTAAGTGCTAGAAAACACGAAATGGTGAGTTAAGTTGTGCATACTTATGTCAGTCAATATTTTTCAAGCAGACATAATGGACATTGCATCTTCCAGTAAACATCAAGCCCATGCAGTAAGAGAAGTTAATAATATATGTGAATAATTCCTGAGTATTTCTGTAGATTTCCCTTAAAGAGATGCATGTAGAGGAGCCTTGAGACCATCACGAAATGCACACAACAAAGTAAATGGAAATAATCAACAAAACAAGCCAGCCTACCTCATCAGATCGACGTCTAAATGTGTCCCTAAGTAACTTGGCATTTTCTTAACTAAACAGTAGGTATTTCAACTATTTGTGAACTGGCCGTAAATTACAGCCTGCTAAGGACACCATCTTTTGTTTCATTCCATCGACTTTTAGCAGGGATACAAGCATAAAAGTGTGTAACACAACGAATACTTACCAAAAATTGAGGTCTCTTCAATAAGTGTAGTATGTAGGCACTAGCCGATCAAATGATCTACGGCCGCATGCAGGCTGCCGACGAATTATATTCTGATGTCGTTATCGAGCGATTTGAGCAAAACAAAGACGAACAGTCTTTCTTGTGGATATCGACGCGTTTTGTTTGAGCGATCTAATCAACATGGACGCCCTGGAGCATAAGTGTGATGGTTTGAATCTTGAAAAGAGGCGCTAATCCAAAAGCCGGTGGCCTCTGGACAGTGGTATCCTTGCCCTTGTGTCCTTCTTCTATTGAGACCATTGTTATTCATAAAGTGTTCCAACGACATCTGCGTTCTGCTTTTCACTCATATTTTGTCCCGGAGTACTTGATATATCATTGTCTCTGCTGTCTGTTAATAAAGATATATATTATAACAAGGTTAGTATTCCAAGTGTTTACTGTGAAGGCAATAACGTCGTTATTACAAGTTTTAACTTTCAGCATGTTAACGTACAGCATTTTGCTTTTAGTATCACCATTGACTATTATTAGGTGTTGTACAACACACGTGTTTTGTGTAGTTATTCTCACCTTCCGAATGTTTTCCAGGCCCTACTCAATTTCCTCGCTCTGACTTGCTGTTGAAGATCATGTACTGGAGTACCTGCTGTGGCTTAGCGTTGGTAGAAGAAGCAGACACACAGAGGAATCTCCTTTCGTTATGATCACTTCAGTGAGCGAAAACGTATTGCTAGCTAGCACTGGCTAGACTAGCAGCTTCATGTAGAACTCTGTAAAGTTGCGCTTATCGGGGATTTGATGGATTTCCTCCGAAATTTTGCATCACTTTGCCACTAAATTACCCTCATACTTTTCCACGTGGGACGTGCACACTTATACCGACACCTATGGTTTCCAATGGAGATTGCGTGGATGAAACTACTTGGAAAGACGAGGGTTGATAGATTGGTATCTATAAAAAGAGGGGACCATCTGCTTAAGGACGGAAGTATTTATATAGTTGTGTTGTCTACGCTGTATGGGTGATTTGCGACATCTTCAGAATATGCTTTGACACGAAGTGAAGTCATTCGAATTCCCTATAATTAATGAGATTGCCTCTGTTAACGGTCCTTGTTGTGGTTGGTTGTGAATTTGTATTTATTGACTTGGAATCAGACTCTTTTCAGTATAAAATTTTTTCATTTGCGTAACTTGTTCTGTGCGAATGTGTGTTGATTTTAGATGTTTTTATCAACCAGGTTTCAACAGATTCCTCGCCACTTTTGGTGTCTTCTGTCTGTAGGAGCAAATGTGTAATCTCCCAGTGTCACTCCAGTAAACAACTGAAGTGTTTCGACCTGAAACTGTGACTACAGCACGAAATGATTGAAATTATAGGTAAATGGCGTTGGTGGTTGAGCAGTCGGATGCTCGTCAACGACACATGTGATCCGGGGTTCAAGTGCTGGCCAACACACTTCTCGCATAACCGGTAGTAAGCTCGGTAAGGGAGTGGGGGTTTGGGTGTGAGTCCAGCAACCTCAATTCTCAGAATGTTATACCACTGTTACTGCAACTTTATAGCTGAAAGCCCTGTGTTCCACTCGGAACTCAGAGAAGTGTGTCGATAAAATGGTATGGGTAGATGCCAGGTGAGAGCTCTATGGAGTGTGAGCTGTTTAATTCAATGACCTAACATCTAGAGAAGAGTTGCTTTGAGCTCGTTTTACGGTTAGCTTAGCCCCAACGATCAATGTAAACAACTTCGACTACCTTTCCAATAAGTTATCTGACCTGGAAGGAACAATCCTGTTTTATGGATTCACATCTACCTACCCGTGTTGTTCATTTCCTCCATGAACTATTGACGCCGCTTCCGGTCGACCATGTGCGTGGGTCCCTACATGTAATAGGGCTTTTTTTTTTCTTGTTATACTGAAGCGCTTTATTGTGGTTATAAGAAATGATTTCTAGGTGTGTACATGTTCCTGATATCTCCTTCTTTACCGATAGCTCATTTCGCATTCATGACTGAAAGATTTGTGAGTGGTTTGCATGAAATTTTGTTGCTGCACATTGGGGCGACACCTGCCTAAAACGTTTACCGTGGAATTAACTGCATCTCCAGCTCCATTTCAGAAGACAAGATTGGTTATAGTGAATGGTATGACTATAGCGGAAATGTAACTAGTTAGCAGTTATTGTGTATGTTTTGGTTTCAAAAGCGTTACACTTGTTTGTGTTTATAAAATATGCACTATTTTAACATACTGTTATAAATTACGTCAATTTTAATTTAATTTCTGTAGTTATTTTTAATTGATCAGTATTGTGGTTGATGTTTTACTGGGAGTTTATTGTGAGTACTTTCCTAGTTAGGAAGTGCGCGTATGATATGTATGGGAAATTTTAGAAGAGTGAAATATAATAGAAATGATGAGAAAATACACTGAATCCCATGTTGGCTACTTTTCCCTACTTATTCCATCTACCCAATGGTTTCAATAGAATTTCTCTTGTTTTCGCTTATTCGCACCGTGTCTCTTCATTTTCACTCTCATCTCACACTGAAATATTTGGTTTTTTGTGCCCCATCGTACTGTCCTGTAGGCGCAGTAATTCACTACAACATACTACGTTTTGCAATCTGCAAGTAACTTCTACACGCCCTATGTTAGTCAAACGGAGAGTGATGCTGAATTTCGTCAGTATAAAAATATTAGGCTAGTTGAAAATGTTTATTTTATCCGGAAGTAGCAGAAGTTGTCTGAAACTGATGCCGATTGCGTTTTTTTTCAGTTGGTTTAAGTGGTCTGTTACATGGGATTGCTGCATCATGATTTACTGTTCACGCCTGTTTTCTTAGAAAGTGCCAACTCTTAAACTGTAGGTGTAATCTTGTACACCTGTTTTGTTTTCAAATTTTGTTGTACGATAGTAGGCCTACAATAGTTGTGTTTATGAGCCCTAGCCTATCGGTCCACAAGTGGAATTATTATATTATTGTTCCCTTGGGTTCCTAGTGGAACATAGGGCTTTAACTGCACGTCTCCACTCGCTTCTGTCTTCTGCTGTACTTTTCACCCGCATCCATGTTAGTCCATACTGTTTCAACTCCTCTTCACACGATCTCTTCCATGTCACCCTTGGACGTCCCACTTGCCGCTTCCCTTTCGGGTTCCAGTCGAGCTATGGCCTGACGCTTGATGTCACCCAGCGGCCTCCTCAGCGAGTGTCTAATGCATCTCCACTTTCTCCTGCATATTTGTTGGACGATTGGTCCTTGCTTTGTTTGTTCCCATAGTTTCTTGTTGGTGATTCTTTCCGGCCATCTGATCTTCAGTATAGAGCCAGCGAAGGCAGTTGTTGATAAAGGTCTGCAACAGGCTGTTGGAAATATTCTTTGTGACCCGCCAAGTTTCTGATCCGTATAGAAGAACTGACTTGACGTTTGTATTGAAAATCCGAATTTTGTTGTTGATGGTGAGTGACGAAGATTTCCAGATTGGTTTCAGGTTGACGAATGTGTTTCTCGCCTTCCCGATTCTCGATTTGACATCCTCGTCCATTCCTCCCTAGATAAGTGAATGAAGTGGAATGGTTGATATCATTCTACACCTGAAAGGACATAAGGCACCTCTGTATTACAGAGTTATGAATAACAGATCAAAACTCATTATTGTTTTTTCAAAGTAAGTGCAATAACTAGGTTTCTCATTGTAATGAGTGGCTGCCGAATAGGACTTCGTACACTTACACTAGAGGAGAGTACTCATTGCTGGGGCTTGTGAAACAGTTTTTGTTGAAAACGGGGAGTTACTGTAAACAATTTAAATCGCTTTTTAAATGGTTCTTACTTTGTACTGGCTTAAATCCTCCATTGGTTGTCATTAAGGTCTGTGTAAATGAGATGTGCAGATACTTAACGTGTTTTGTCTCTACTTCACCGTGTTTGTGTTCTCCATGGCTTTAAAATTATCTGCTGTTTAACAAAAGGAAAATGAAAACCCGCCTGTAGCTTTTAGGAAGGTTAAGTGCTTGCATACTACTTGATTTATTCGTGTTGTTGATGTAAACATGATTGACTGCAGATCCTCTGAAGATATCGCTTCCATATTAATTTGTTCATTAGATATATTACAACACAGTCAAGCAGTATTATTTACTGGATGACCTTTCGAACACAATTTATTGTTCATAATCATATCAATTATAATCACACTACTTCGAAAATTGAGTCTTATAGTTTGCTTTATTCTTTCCGGCTGTCAACCAAGGGACGTGTATACTGCTCATCAGTTCGCTCCGTCCTCTATGGCGGTGAGACTTGGCCATTGAGAGCGGAAGACATGAAGAGATTGTGTGTTTTTGACCACTGATGTTTACGATCTCTTTCTCGCGTTAGGTGGTATAATAAGGTAAGTAATGTTGACGTTAGGCGTAGAGTGTTGGGCAAAGAGGGAAAATCACCCGAAGAGGCTATGAAGTTACATAGATTGAGATGGTTAGGCCACGTGCTGCGCATGCCTAACCATCGTCTCCCCCGACGGGCATTACTAGCTGATATAGGTGCAAGTTGGTTGGGAAAGAGTAAGCGGTGGCCAAACAAAAACATGGCATCAATCCATGAAATCCCTGACAGTTAAAGTGAGTCAGGTAGGGAGATGCAGACTTCCGGGTTGGGGCCCGCCCTCGGGACTCTAAGAATCAATGGCTGGAGACAATAGGCGACATGGCTCAAAATCGTTGTCAATGGCTTACGCAGATGTATTCAGTCTCTGTAATCTTTCATATTCCTTTCTACCATTACTCATTCTCTTTCACTCTTATACTTGTCAAAACTCTATTGATTCTCTTCACTCATTTTCTTGTCTACGTTTGTGTGCTATTTGGAACGTGGCAACTCGAACTGCTGCACTTCGGTGCCAAGTTCTATGTTGAATCCAGACAGACAGACAGACTTTATTCTTTCCTATTCATCGTCTTAGGGGTAGTAGAATTTTCCAGATATCTGAGACAGGTGTTGAATCGTTCCTATCACACATGTTTGTAGTTGATTTGATAAATGAAGCTTTCGTTATCAATCTCTTCCTCCATCCTGATACATAAGATTTTAAAACTGTCATCTTATCCCTCCTATCGTATTGTATGGTTGTGTGTAATTGCTTGTGGTGAATTGCTATAGCTGAACTATTCCCCAGATTTTTTAACTTATTAGTGTCAGTTAATTCAGATTTTTGAAGTTTTCATGCTTCGCTAGTTTGACTGACCGACCGCCTGTACTACTTTAACCTATGTATTTTACCTGGCAAACATTGCAACAGACTATTAGTTAAACTGAATTGTTTTGTTTAATTGACTACACAGGACGATCCTCTAACCGAAAAGGCTTGTTTCTAATTAAGTTTGTGTGTTTGAATGCCACTTTTATTCCTGCATTGTTAAGAATTCTCCGTAAGGTTCCTACTGTGTATGGAAGCACTAGTGATGATTTATATTCCCTTTTGCTGGTGTTGTCATTATCTTGTGCATTTTTGGCATGCATGTTGTCATTAATGTTATTATTATTATTATTATCACTAATACTATTATTATTAATTTTACTTTTACATTTTCTTACATACTTTCTGATTAATTTATCAGGGTAATTATTAAGTTTCAAGGCTTCTTTTATATGTATCAGTTCTTGTTTTAGATTTTATTTGGTACCAACCAGTTTTCGTGCTCTGTCACTTAAACATTTCACCGACCCTATTTTTACTGACATAGGATGGGATGATCGGAAGTCCAAATATCTGTTTGAATGTGTAGGTTTCCTGTAAACACTAGTGTTAAACTTCGCATCTTCTTTCCTTTTTACGTTGCAATCTTACATTGGAAGCTCCCCTTCCTGACTTTCCAATTCATAAGTGAATGGAATTGCTTCATCCTTCGAGTTGATTTGTTCGAAAAACCTATCTATATTTTGTGTTCTAAGTACAGTGAATGTGTCATCTACATACCTACACCATACTTTTAGGGTGGGGGTGAAAGTTGCAATCGCTATGCTTTCCTACTTATCCATGAATATATCTGATACCACTAGGGATATTGGTAATCCCATGGCAACTCTCTCAGTTTGTTTGTATATTTCCCCTTGGAATTTAAATACTGTGGAAGTCAGGCATAGCTGCACTCCTAGCATTATGTCCTCTAGTGTCACTTTCGTTCTAAGTCCAAGTTCTCGTTCAGAAATGAGTTCGTTTCTGATTGCCTCTAGAGGCATATTTATCGGTATACGTGTATATAAACTGATAATGTCGAAACATACCATGTTTTCCTCACTACAGAATTTTAAATTATGTAATCTATGTTTTAGTTCGTAAGAATTTGTTAGTCTAGATTTTGAATGGCTTCGAAGAGTATTTAATACCATAGCTAAATATTTAGATAATTCATAAGTAGGTGAATTTCTAAAATCATGTATAGGTCTAATATGGTATCCTGACTTATGTACTTTGATAACACCATACATCCTACTGGAGTTATTAGTTTTGGACATTAAATTAAACCATTTAGACTCACCTAGAAACGGCTCCATTCGGCGCATAAGGTCCGCTGTGGATTTCTTAACCTTATTCACAACGATGTATATTGATTTCTTAATTTGCTCATATGGTCAGGTTTGTATATGAGTATTCACTTTCTCCAAATAGTTTGACATGTCTAATATTACTGTTGCATTTCCTTTGTCTGACTTAGTGATTACTATGTCCTTGTTATCCTTAAGGTGTTTTATGGTTTCCATCTCTGTTTTTGTCAGGTTAGGCTTTCCTCGTTTTAATGTTAGTGCACATTGTGCCCGTACTTCATCAGCTGCTGTTTTGTCTATCCCACCTAGTGCTATTTCTATTTTAGGGATGCCATTCCCAGGTTTTAGCTTGTCTACGGCTACATTGCAATTTAGTCCCTTTTCTAATACACTTATTTCCGTAAGACTTCACATATAGGCATCATCAGCATAGGTCTTATCTGTTCACGATGAGGATCCTAGGATAGATTTCTAAACTAATTCTAACCTATGCGTTTTTTAATGCCTTTTAATGGTACGGATGAATATTTCTTGTTATGCGAAATAAGTAATACTTAAAACTGGAGTTCAAGATTTGGTGTGGCTCGCTATTTTGAACTCTAACATTGGTTGTACCTTCGCCGTGTGTGTGTGATGTTTCGTGTTCCTACTGGAAGTCGACTGGGGACGAGGGGAGAGAGTGGTTTTGACCATCTGTCACCTCGAATGCCAAAGCGTTATTTCCTGAAACCTGTGTAAAAGTTTTTGTTGTGTTTTCTATTGGACATCGAGGTTTAAGGTTTTATTTGAATGGAAAAAAAGCGAAAATTTGTGTTACGCAGCATATTATTGATAGTAAGTGGAAATATGCCTCATTTTCATGAGCACTTAACAACTTAACAGTGAACAGTTACTGCGAACTCGATTCCATCTTTACCAACTTTAGTTTGGTTAGCCTTAAACACAATGAGTCTGGTGGCTCATATCTCCTCTCATATAAAAGAATTCGATTCCAAGCAACTGATTTCTAACCACTTTAATAGAACATTAAGCAAATCGATATATTACCTACCACTGTTAAGTATATATTGTTGCATTTTTTTTCTTCTCATTTTTTTATAACAGTAAATTTCACTTGATTTGAATGTTGGTATTCGTGAAATGATGAACTGTCGACATTCCTTTAAAATTCGTTGCGCACATTGGTTATTAGCTCGAATCAGTTTGTTCCAATCAATATGCTTATTGTTATGGTTAGGCGAACGTGCTTACCATGAAATAGAACCACCTATACACCCATGGGCAGTATATACATATGTAAGTTTTTTAATTGAATATTTTTCTAATGGAATAAGGTAAGTTGTGTTTTCTTTTCATTTAAAGTATATATTTTATCATTATGTATTTTATTCCTTTAAGTTCCTAGTGAAACCATAAGACTTCAAGCCAAAGCTTTGACGATTCGATAGCAGTGGTGCTTAGTTTTACGGGGTGGGGTTGCTAGTCTCATGCCCAACCTTCCCTGTTTACCGGCGGCTTAGTGAGGTAAGGGAGTGCGCCGGCCGGTGATCGAATCCCGAACCACGTTTGTGATTGGCGAGCATTCTACTGCTGTATTACCGATTCACTGATTTAGGCAAAAGAAATCACTAAATGTTATAAAATTAGAACTGAAGGGATAATTATCAATAAACACATTGAGTTTATTTTCAACACGTCATGGGTAGAGAGAATATAGTGTTAAGTAATGAGAAATGCAGATCTAGATATGATGTCGAAGATTTGTGTCTCAGGTGGATGATTTTGATGTGGTTATGTACTCTGAGCTGGATGGTTTATTTGCGAAGCTTTCATTGCCCCTCCTACTAAGCAACATCTTCAGCGCATACTTCAATTCGAAGTGAGCTTTTAGATTTTTCCACGAGTGTATTAATCATCTCTCCTAGTGATTGTCTTTGTGTGTTTTCACACCCTCTGGGCTACTTGTATTGATACTGATTGTTTCCTTGACGTGAAGTTTGACCCTTTGTGTGCGCCATTTCCTTCTTATCGATTGGTAAATTTTTCCCTGTGTCGATGTTTCTATTGATTGACGATTCACTAGAATACCAGACTTCTAAAAATCCTCTAGTGTTTCCGCTGAGTAATATTTGAACGTTGTCGCGGTTGAATTGATGTCCGTGGTTGTCTGTATCCAGTGATATGAGCGAGGGAGTGGATGTCATGCCTTTTGACGGCTAGTTTACGTTCATGGATACGAAGACAAAGAGGACGTCCACTTTGGGAAATGTAGTATTTTTCTCAGTCGTTGCAATTTATTTTGTAAATGATGTTGGTTTTATCTTCTTTCGCTGTTGAGTCTTTTGGTTGACTTATAGCCAGCAGGGTGATTTTGTGTGCGACATCAATTCATTAAAGTTTTAAGAGTCTTGAAGTGATTTCTGAGGTGTTTTTTATATACGATAGGGCGATTTTCTTTGTGTTTTCCTTGGGGGCCTTTGGTTTGGTAGGCTGGTTTTGGTGTAGATGGCTTTTGATGAAGTTCCGTGAATATCCATTCTTTTGGAAGACGTTCATGATGAGATATCTTTCCTCAATTTTCCTTAAGGTACGAGTGCTGTGATGAGTCCTGGACCTCTTGATGAATAGTGTTTGTATACAACTTCCTGTTGTGTGTTATTGGATTGTTGCTGTTGTAGTTGAATATTTTATCAGTGTGAGTTGATTTTATAACTTTTCTGTGTTTGTTCCCTTGACTCAGACGTCTAAAAATGGTATTTTGTTCTCAGATTTCTCTTCTCTTTTGAATTTGGTGTCGTTAAAAACACTATTGATTAAGGTGTGAGTTTTATCCAACTCGTTTCTTTTGTGATTATAACGAACGTGTCATCTAGCACCACTAGCTGTTTTTCAAAGTGTTTCTATGTTAGCTAACATTTCTCGTCGAGGAAGGCGATACCCAGGCATGCGTAACATTTCCCAGTCATTTCAGTCCATCTAACGGGTACGAATATGCACTTTCAGGCGTGTAAATTGGGTGAAGTTATTTTGATCGTAAGCTCCATCATCATTCTGACTGGTAAGATGATAACGTTACAAATTCATACTAAACCTTATTTGTGTTACGATGTGTTATAGAAGACCACTTTCCAAAGGCTTCTCGCGACAGTTCACTGTTTGTTATCGTTGAGGTTTATTTGAAAAAAAGCAACTCAGAATTGATCAGACTGTGATGCACTTTTGTAAGATAAAAGATAATCTTGTTGGGTTAGTAGCTGTATTGTTGGTTCTTGAGTGACTTTGCGTGGGGGAGAGGATCCAAAAGACCAAGCTACTCATAAAATTCAAGATGTTATTCAATATGATATAGAATCGAAGTTATTGCCGATCATGTGGTTGTTGGACTCAGTTGCCTCAACCAGCCTGTTCTTGTACCATGCTATGAGTTGTATAATCCATGTTCAATTCAAATCACCGAAAATACCTATTGAGTCATGAAGAAAATATAAGACATATTCAGCGAAAAAAATTTTCTTTATCGACGAAAATTTCCTTCGCCGAATTTGTTTTTTATTTTCTTCTTCTAGCTACACTTCTACCTCTTTGTAATCAACAAGGATTGTGTCACCGCATCCTTTTGAACAAAACCTACATCCAACGACTAATTTAATATTTAGGTTTAGAGAGGCAGTTCTTATTTCTATCTGGGTTTCCAGGAAATAATCTTAAAATATGCCGATGATATATAGTCCTCCTAACAGAAAATGCTGCCAAAATAGGGCAGTTTTCTAAACACATTGCTTAGAAAGTAATCATAATAATAATAATAATAGGAATAGTAATAAGAATAATAGCTTTATTCCAAACAGCATTTGTGGTACAGGTATGAGATTTTCGGCGTGCATTACAATATTGCATCTAATTACCCCATAAATTTTATAAGATTTCAAAATCAAAAAGCAACAACCAAAAAATAAAAAAGAACGGCGTTGCGTTTACATTTTTTAACAATGCACCACACCATATGAAATATAAAATTAGTGTGTAAGAGAAGATGTGAACAACAATATAATAGTAACGAAGAGAGGAAAACAAAAGCCAATGGGAAATATTTGTTTGTTAGAGTGCCGCAGTAAGTTGGTCGTGTCATACCTAACGGATTTCTCATCACATAACAGCTGTGCCAGATAAGGTATTGTGGAGTTTTTGTACTTGGTAGTCCTAGCATATAGCCTCCTATAGCTGCTTCTAGTTCTACCAGATGAAATGCAAGGAGAGAGCTGCGTATAGAGAGGGTCTGACAATATAGTATTCGCTAGTTTCTTACATGACATTATATGTCTATCCACAATAGTATTAACCAGTTGGTTTAACGATATCCCACTTGCCCTAGTAACGGCTTTCAGTGCCCTTCTCAGCAAAGCAAAGTCTTTCTTAAGTAGTCCAGGAAAGATTAATGGGGAGCAGTAAAGAGGGTCTGTCTCTGTTTGGATTCAACATAAAGAGGGATGGGTAGAATACAAGAATTGACAAACTGAGAAAGCAAAGACTGCTTTATACCAGACTGTCTTAACCTCCTAACGTAGAACGTTAAGCGAAACATCTTTCTAGTAACTAGCAAGATGTGAGAGGACCAGGAAAGATCGGAGGAAATACTCAGCCCAAGGTACTTGATATTAGATGTAATTCAACCTCTATGCCGTCAATGATAGTGGGGCCATGTGAGCTAGCTAGTTGTTGTAGGTCACGTTTTCGTCTGAAAGTGAAATTGACTACCTGACATTTAGACGGATTTAGCTTAAGACCGTTTGAAGAGGACCACTGACTAATTTCCGACAGAAAGTTATTTAATTTGGAACAATCCGACTGAGAGTTGACAGGCATGGGAACAGAGAGGTCATCAGCATACTTAACAAAAGTGGCTACATCAGAACGGGGCAAGTCATGTAAGAAAAAAGAAAAGGAGAAAGAACAGCACCTTGAGGAACACCAGCTAAAGTAAGTGAGGTAGTGGAGGACTTCCCATTGTAGACGGTGTACTGCTTCCTATCGGAAAAATAGGAATGCAACCACTTATTTGTCCAGCTCTCAGCCTGTCTGGCAGCAAGCTTACTTAGCAAGAGAGACCTAGGTACAGAGTCAAATGCAGATGTGTAATCAAGGAAGGCACACCGAACGTAATTAGCTCCTCTATCTAAACTAGGGACTATGTTATGATGTAAGACAATAGCGGCATCTAAGGTACACCTACTATGTTTATAAGCAAACTGGTTGGGTTCATTGAAAGGCTCTAAAGAGGGTTCAAGATTAAGTAAAATAAGTCTTTCCATAACTTTCAAAAAAGGTGAGGTAATAGCGATAGGTCTAAACTTAACAGTAGGTCCACTTATTGATTTAGGCACTGGAACAATCTTGATATTTTTTTATGAGTCAGGTATAATACTTTTGGAAAAAGATTCGTTGAAAATGTCGGTTAATGGGGAACATAAGATGTCAGCACACACACACACACACACAGTAGGAACTCCATCAGGACCAAGGGACTGAGTAGGTTTGAGAGATTGAAGACACTTAAGGACATCATTCGTATTAAAGCATGAGAAACAGTCATTATTTACACTATTAGAGTTAGGAATCATAACATCTGCAGGGATACATATGAAGGATTTATTAAGCATATCAACATCGACAGAAGTATCATTCATTATTTGCTTACCACATGTGATTCCCTTTAATAACTTCCACATATTGGATGAGGATTTAAATGAAAGAAACTTCTGGTTATAGAGAGCATTTAATCTTTGTAATTCAGCTTTAATCAAAGTGTTCGTTCTCTTAACACCAGGTTTATTTTTCATTTTGTACAACCTCGCTTTTTCACGGCGAGGCTTTTTGAGTTGAGAAGAGGAGAAGCGGTCGAATTTTAAGAAGATTGTCTCTTTTGGACAACAAACATCAAGACAGAAATTAAGATGTGTGTTATGTTAGTAATTGTGTTATCAAGAGCTTGTTTAGTAAACAAGTCCCTGTTTGTGTCTTTTAACATGGTCCTAGATTCTGTATGCTGTCATGAGAATAACATCTATGTTGTGTTTTCTTTCCAAGGTATGAGAAGACCCTTTTGTGCTGCTTTCCATATACTTTGGGCAATATTCTTATGATACAGTGATCAGAATTTAGTAGTAGGGCTCTTTTTCGAGCTCCAAATATTCCTGTGTCGTTTGTAAACACGAGATCATGAAAAATCTGCGCTTGACCTAGGCGGCCTGTTCGAATTTTTGGGCCAGCTATTATAATATCTACATATTGCGTCCAAT